CCTCGCTCAGCCAGTGGGCGGGAACCGGTCTGTATGTGGGATCCGAACCCTCGGCGGGAGCGCCGCCACACTCCCAAGCGGAACACTGTAGCAGTGCGCCACCGGGCCGGCCCAGGCTGGCTTCTTTTTAGCCTCTCTGGGTAGCCCTCACTTTCTATGCTCTGTCTCCCTGTACATCTCCCTGGCCCCAAATACTCCTGGCCCACATAGATGGCAAGTTCTTACCATGGAAGCCCTCGCTGGTCTTTGAAAGGAATAAAAGAGCCTGGAGACCTTGGGGCTGGAAACATGCCCCTCTGTCCCTAACCAAGCAGCTGTGACTGTGTGGGAGAGCAAGAGGCTCCGTGGCACTGGACTGACCTGCCCTGCTCCGGCGGAGTCCAGCAGCTGGGGAAGGGAGTGCTTCCGGCCATCTCGGGAGACCTCCAGCATCCTGGCCCGGGGGTCCCCGTTCCGCACCATCAGCTCGTTATATTCTTCAACAGACTCTAGGCGGTGGACGCCCCCTTGAGAAAAAAGGGGAAAAAAACATGGTTTGATATCAGATGAAAAGAAGCTCAAGAGCATCCATGGGCATAAACTCATTTTATTTATACCCACATCCGTGGTTTTCTGAAGGCCTGGCATCCAATATACTCAAAGCACTGGGCTCACCATGTCCTACCACCAAGCTCTGCATTAACTAGTATGTGTCGAGGCCATTAGAACATGAAAAACTGCCAGTTTTTGGAGTAAGCAGACTGGATAAGGGGCAATGTATGTGTTTGATGCAAGTAAGATGTTGCTGGGTGGCTAAGGAGATAAATAGTGAGAAGGCTGTCAGTCACTAGATAGTTTCCTAGTGGTGGAGAAATACCACTTTGTGGTTGGTATAGTTCCACGGTTGGGGCAGATGCTTTTTTTCCATGTAGAGTGATGACTTTTTAAGTAAACTTTTTATGAAAATATAACTTACAGACATGTGCACAAATCATCAGTTCAATGAAATGTTACAGGTGAACCTACCAATAACCAATACCCTCATCAAGACACAGAATATTAACCAGCACCTCAAAAGCCCCTTCTGTGCCACTAAGCCCCCCTCACCCGAGGGTAACCATCATCCTGACTCCTAACAGCAGAGACAACTTTTGCTTGCCCTTGAACCTCNTACATGTTTTAGGCCTTGTGGGCCACAAGTGGTCTCTGTCACATATTGTTTTTCTTTCTTTCTTTTTTAACAACCCACTAACAACGCAGAAAGCCTTTCTAGCTTGCGGGCCGTACAAATGCAGCAGTGGCCTGAAGTTTGCTGACCCCCGATCTAGTATATACTGAGACTGAATATTCTCATGCACGTCTCTTGCACACGTCATTTCTGTTGGATGACACCTGGGAGTGGAGTTGCCGGGCTACAGGCATCCTTTCAGCTTCCCCAGTGTTGCATCAGCAGCAGGTACAAGCTCCAGCTTCTCCACAACCTTGTAACACTTGGCGGTGTCAGTCTTTGGGTGGGGGGAGGTGGCTGGCTGGCACGGGGATTCAAACCCTTAACCTTGGTATTATAACACCATGCTCTAGCCAACTGAGCTAACCGGCCAGCCCCATATTACCTTT